ATAATAATAATGTATTTATTGAGTAATGGAACTCAGGTTATTCTTACCTAGTGTGGAAGAATTCTCGGTTTTTCAAGATTGCTGGGCTCAGTAGATTCTTTTGAATTGGCAAATGATTTTAAGAGTAGCACTCCTCGACCCTTTGGCAAGAATGGAAGAAGCTTTCGAGTCCCGCTAAAGCAACAGACCTAGAGAAAAAATAAGCCAGAAATGTTTCTTCTTCATTTTTTCGGTCACAAAACACAGTTCACGTTTTGTTCGTGTTGTCCATTGTCCAGATAATTATGTTCTGGTGTTAGTTTTCATGACGGTCTTTGCGGGCTAACACGAGTAGCATGTGTCTCCGAGGCACGTTATAAACCGTGAAAAGTACTCTTTCCATTCCAAGATATTTAATCCAACGATGTCTTATTTTCCGTGTCGAGACCCAGGTCATGAGGCCTGCTCTTCCGCATGACAACGCCATTTCCGCTACTTTTACCGTGTGGCAGAGAAAGCAGGTATCACTGGACCGACGAGACCGGCGTTTTGAATTTCGCTCAGAGGCTTCACTTTCTTTTAGTCTGACTTTGCAATCTTATTATTAAAATGGTAAAAATGTAATTTAAAAAAGATGTTTAAAAATTAATGTGTCTAACAGACCTTACTATAGTCCTAAAATACGGTATGTAAAGCTAAAGACGGGGCAAGGATCCTGAGGCGTTACGCTGCGTTACATAGAGGTAAGGGGTATTGTTTATTAATTAACATCAATAACTTATTAATTACATCTTTAATAAATTAAAATTATTGCTATTAAATTGTTGCATTTATAAAGGGGAGGGGGAATTGTCGCATGTGTTACGTAATGATTTAGGAGGGATTCACGGGCGGGTTACAGAGTGGAGAGGTATTCAAAATACTTCAAATTTGCGTTTCATAATTTATCGACTGCCCCTTTTTGGTTTGCTATTGACTTCCGCTTATTCCCCAGGTTCATTAGTTGACAATGCTTTCTTTTTCTGGACTGTAATTTTTGGATCCTCAGACGGCCAAGTTACATTTGTGTTGGTAGACGACCTGGCAAGTAAATTTTGACTTCCGAATAAAATTGGTATTGGTATTCGTATTCGTCTACAGTTATTTGAGTTTTACTTTCCCAGGATCAAAAATTAATGTTTGAGATTTTATTACAATTCTTTAGAGTAAAATAATGATCGTGAAATTTACAGAAATGTTAATTTTAATGTATTTTTCAAATCAAAACTACAAAAACTTGTAATAATTTAGGGAAACGACATTGGAAAATGTCCATGCATTAAATTTTGAGATGTGGGTAACCTTTATCTTTGGTGGTTTATCTATATGTAGCTAGTAAAAGGCTCCATTTGAATTTGTAAATAACATTTTTTATTGCCATTCTTTCATAACTACAAAATAATTTCAAAATCGACATTTTTATATGCACTTATATAGAACATGAATTCAACATCTTATTCTCATGTGGAATGTACTTCTATCAGTTAAGATGAAGAGGAAGTGACAGGAAGTGATCGATTTCTTAGTTATAATATGTACAATCTTCTTGCACTTCTGTACATGATGCAAGACTCAAACACTCATTTTCTGAATAAAATATCATGACAAATTTGCAATTCTGTGTAAAAATCATTAATACCAACGTAAATGAGTCATTTTGTCCCGTCATCAGGTAGCAGACACCACTGGTACATAACCTTTTGCTGATACAAATCTTCTTCTAAGATACACTGACAATGTTGACACTTCAAGACACTCTTCTTAAGAAAAGTTTTCACAGCATGTTTGTGATACTTATAGGGCTGTCCATGGGCATCATCAGCACTACATTATTTGGTGGGGCGATTCAATAGATAAGGTCCAGATACCGGGGAGTTCCCTCCAATAAACCTTATATATAAACAATTAGTGTGATAGACGCGCCCCTATGCCGAGATTGGCAGCCATGAACTTGTTCCATTTGTTCAGACTATACAATTATTGACAATAGCAGCCTTCTGATCTTCCTGCGAACGTTCGCCAGATAATCCCGATGGGCAAACAGCTGTTTTCGACAAAATGCAAAGCTCCGTTTCACACACACATGCCTTCCACTAACGCCCATAACGGGAGCTTAGAGACAGTGCCA